AAAATATTATCTCAAATTTTGACCATACTGAGTGGAACAAAAAATATGTTTGTCACACTTTTCTGGAACTATTGTTAAAATTTCATTGCCATGGACAGCATCCTTTGAACAATATACCGGTATATACACCATTCATATGGGGCTGACAAATTAACTTTATAATATGAATTTATGCTTGATTTGTAAAAACACAAACACACACACTGTTTTTTAAGGTCAGTTTCATGTAGATATAGCTTTGAAGTCAGTTTTACTTAGTTTGCTTGTTTTATTCAATCTTGTTCATATATATTAAAATATGTATTACTATTAGGTCGATGAATCACCTCACATCGATAAATTTACATCACAAAACAAAATGGTTTTAAGAGGAAAAAAAACAGAAATTTTAAAAAGGTTGGGCCACAAGGCTTTAAAAATATCTCAATAAATGCTACTAAAATCATAGGTGTTTTTTCTTCCGGGCAGTAACATTTTTATTGAAATACCAATATGAAATGTTCTGTGAGGTTGATAAGGTTCCTTTTTGATAGGCTAAAGAAAATATGCCAAGGTTATTTTTTATTTAAACCAATTAAATTATTTGGTTTTAAAAGATTCTAAATTTTGAATTTAAAATATGTCATCAAATATTTCCTTCACTGCACAATGCTAATGATATGAGCAACTTTTGTCTTGACAGCCGTTCCAAACTGTTTAATTTCCAAAGTGTGATCAAAGGTATTATTTAATCATTTGTAATGAGCTCTATTTCAAAGAAATTCAGTCAACAGTGACAACAGTCTACAGAGGACTGTGAAACAACTATAACTTATTTTAAAGTTAACTCAATCACCACAGCGCCATGTAGTGTCAATATAAATTTATCTTACCTTTTTTCATCAGACATATTATCCAAGGATTCTTGTTTGTCTTTGAGCAGAAGTTGCAGGTGTCTCATTTCTCTTTCATACTCCTGTGTTTTGTGGTTGAAATCTTCAGATTTTTCTTGTAGTTTTAAAGCAAAATTACCATATTTTTCTTCTGCTTTCATTTTGTACAACTAGCAATAAAAACAGAAAGGGGTTGAGAATTTATACTTTTTCAGCAGTCCATGGCAACTTTTACTGGACCTGAGTTTCGCCCTGCCTTTCTGATGGCTTTTTTTTTGTAAATCTGAAACAACAGACTTATTTTCCTTACTGCACAAATCACTATTGATGTTAAAAGTGTGAGAGTAGAAAGAAAAACTACATAATATATATACATGTATAATATAAAATAGCAAGAATGCAAATTCTCATTGCTTCACAGTTGTTAATTTGTTTGAGAGTTTTAAAACTGTTACCTTTTTATTGGCAAGAATGTGGAATAAAAGGTTTTATGAACTCCACACACCCCTGTTTGTTTGTGTTGTTGGACTAGACATTGTCAATGACATGGTCCCTGTACGGTTACTAGTAAAGTGATTGTATCAATGATAAAATATGAGTAAGGTTCACAAAATGCAAATTAGGTTATTAATATGCATTAATTGCCTGGCAATGAGTTTATAGAGGTTTGTCAAGACAGAGAGCTTGGAATGAACCAATGATGGTAAAATGGCAAAAAAAGATGAAATGGTCTGTCACTGGCTAATCGGTATGTAGCTCTGCTACTTGAAAGCATATGAAACTATCAGTTTTTAAAAACAGTGTCATACAGTATAATAAAAATAGCATGGTGAAAACTCATTTCACTGCAATTTTGGTAAAAAAAACATCTTAGTTACCGGTAGTTAAATTTTGGACCAGATAACCAACATAGAAGAGCCTTGAGTACAACTTAAATGCAGTTTTTCACAGTTAGTTACATGTAGGTACAAGGATGAGTAGTATGAATAAGAAAGATGTATTTATAATGCATGACTGATCTAGGGCTACAACACTATTATTGAGCATGTGGTTTTAACAGATATTGCATACATCAACTTGGGGATGTATTCTTTGTACCTATTGAGATCATAAAAATAAAGCCAACATCTAGTGCAATGCATACCAAGTTTGAATAAATTAAATTAAATTGTTCCAGGCATGCCTAATAAATGGTTCATGACATGTTTTGGGACTGCCCCCCAATCGGTAAAAATCAGTTAAACTAATTGGTGTGTATGTCACCTTAGCATGGTTTGCATAGATGGAACCCAAACCGCAAGTCCTAAATCAGACTGTTCCCAAACAGACAAAGTATTCCAAGCTATAAAACTATAAATCCAATATGTAGGGTTGTGGCAAACTAATAGATCAGTGCATACTTTCAGTTTTTCCTGCATTTTCCCAATAGTGATATTTCCTTCCATCATCTTATTAACAACTTTTTCTTTTTCTTGGGCTTCTTTTTGGGCCTGCAAAAAATAAAAGCTATCTTGAGCTCATTGCATCACTAAACTTGGATATTGATATCAAATGGTGAATTTCAAGAGAGAATGACAGAGCCACAAGTGGTGTTGATAACTACAACAGAACAAAGTCATTAACAACATATGAAAATTTGTGTATACAACTCTTTGGATTATAACACGATCTAAATCCAACGTTAAGTCTATAAACGTTCCTTTGTTTGTAGTGCCAACAAAGGGGGTTAAGTACAACAACAAATATCTCGTTGGTGTTTGTGAGCTCTTGTGTGATTGGTCAATGCATGGACAGCTCTTCCACTCAATTTGGGCCCTGTTTAACCATAGACAGTATAGTAGTATAGTAACACCAAAGTCGAATGCTGTATGCCCAACGCAAGCTGGGCTGGAATATTATAATGAGCAAGTAAACAATGATGTCATTGTTACTTTGATGCAATGTCACTACATGTACTTTCGTATCGAACTACAAGTATCCTTGCTCAAACGAGTCGTTTTCTTTCCGCAATACGCATCTTTTGAACACACAATAGTTATCAGATGTTCTCGTGAACATGGTTCACAAATAAATATTACTTTTAATATATATGTTCCTGTTTAATTGAATAAAATTAAAAGTTAGTTTCAGACGACAGTAATGTTTCCGTACATGTTAACTGAATGTGGTGGCAGCTAAATGTTATATTCAGTTTGTACCCCGTGTTGACAAAATATTTGAATATTTTTGTTTTCATGATGCATGAATCTTTTTATTATGTTATTTTCCACCAACAATGCTCGTTTTTTATTGTTCTCTGCTACGCATTTTTTTCAAACAGACTTTGAATCCATATGTTTTCCCGTCTGTCACCATCTTGACTATAGCTCACTCTTTCAACCGGAATTCATGTCTAAGGTTGTACCCCGTTTTTGACAAAATACTCTAATATTTTAGTTTCCAAGATGCATGAATCTTCTTATTATGTTATTTTCCACCGATTGTGCTCTTTTTTTTTTGTTCTCTGTCTTGCACTTTTTTTGAAATTACCTTTCAAACCGTCCGTTTTCATGTCTGTCGTCATCTTGATGCTTGTGTAAGTTTGTACCTCGTTTTCGACAAAATACACGAATATTATTGTTTTCATGATGCATGAATCTTCAAACTTTGTTATTTTCACCGACTACGCTTGGTTTTTGTTGTTCTCTGTCTCGCATTTCTTTTAATAGACTGTCATTCTGTCTTGCATTTTCACGTCTGTCGCCATCTTGACTACACGTCCAGTCTTTCAGCCTGAATGCACGTCTACCTACGTTGTACCCCGTTTTTATTAATAATTTCAACACGAACACTTGTGTATAAATGAGGCAAGATTTTCTTTATTATTTTATTTTCACTATTTTTGGTTTTTTGTTAGTATTTCAAAGGGTTTCTTTAACGTGACGATCAAGAAAACGCAAATCTTTGCTATTTTCGATGTTGATGCCCGGGCTCTGAATCACACACATGGTTGTCAACATGAATTGCTGTGTCTAATGCGTTTGGATCTTCTTCACTATCATTTCCATCGTCATCAAAATCCCCCCTCAAAAAACATTGAACAAATCATCTACACACGGGAACTCGTGATCTGCAACGGCCATTTAGAATACCTTAAGCAACTCTCGTCAACGAAATTACACATTTCGCGAAAGTTCACGACTCTCGCCGCCTAAAAACACGCATTTAACGCGAAATCGAAATAAACATTTAGTTTATGTTAACCGTTAGTTTAAATCAGCTTAACTTTTTTCCAGCCTACACTGCTACAATAGAATCGCTGGAGTTGCTTGTCCTTCCTACTATATTGTCTATGGTTTAACTTTGGGGTTACGTCCAAACGCCACCCTCTTGACTGGAGATCTGTGTTAAAAAATAAACCTTTGTTGTTGCAGTGTATGCAAGACGATGAACTATTATTCACCTATTAACAATTCACCCCTAGACGTGATAATCCGTTCTCAAAAATCCAAATAATCACAACCTCACCGAAATCCATTTTCTATTCTTACCCACAAGCCACACCCAGACCATTCATCAAAACGAGTGGTCTGGGGTATACTACATGTAGTACTCTGACCCATACCGAGGACTTCCTGTTTGTAATGCTATAAGGTAAATCAGATTACAAACATGTAACTATCACGTGAAACCAAGTGAAAATCATTGTAAAATAACGGACTTATACCCAATTGATTCTGAATTCATTGACCAGGGAAGAAGAAATGACATTTGCAATAATAATCGACAAGTATGTCCGGGTGGTAATGTTCGGTTGACGAAATAGACGATACAACAGTACTGATTGGACCTACATGAATGCTAATCCATTTCACATAACCAATGCAAATGTTATTGTTTTTTTGCTGTCGTACATCAGCTTCGGTAATAACTCCGAAAGTGAAGTCTTATATCTTCAGCAGAATGTAGCCGTTAAAACTTGCAAAACGAGTCTGTTTTGATCGATCATCGCTTAAGCAGCATACAATTTTTTTGGGGGGCTCATTTAAAAAATACGATCGGTGTCAATATTTAAAACTGCATTTTGTGTGTCTCTGGCGTGCTTCAGAATGATATACCGGTAGATCTTGGCCGATCGTATTTTTACAAAGAACCTGAATGTACAGCACTAATTTCACCCAACCTCCTGCTCGTTTCTGCTTTTCGGTCATTATTTTTACTCGCTTTTGCAACAGCATGTTGAATAATTTCCACTTAATTTTTCGAGCTCGCGAACCCAGAAATTTTAAATTTCAAATACATGGCCGTGGCATCAATATGTTCCTGGTGTATCTGCTCTCTGCCCTAAGGAGTTAGCATTGCCTGTGTCACATAAATGTGTTGATAATCATATTGTTGAAACAAGGTGGCTCTACCAGCTTGTTGTGGAACGTTCACATAACAAGAGGTTATACATGTAGTTCAAGATGCGTTCGCAAACAAAACAAAGTATGATGGTTTGGAAGTGTCATTCGAAATTAAAAAATGGTTAATACTAGTTTAATCCTCACACTTTAGCACTAAAAACAACCATTTTGACAACTCATGTGCCAGTGGTCAGTGTTTGAGCAAGCGGTCAGTGTTTTTAATAAGCAAGTGAGAAAAGGGATAAAAACATGGTCATTTTTTCAGTCGGAAATTAAGCAATATGCTGTTGATTAAAATGCTATAAAAGCAAAATATTGAGCGAAATGAGTATTGATGCCTTAATCCATTTTTAACACCTAGGCTACTCTATTGACATTGGTTGTTTATTTCATGGATTTGGCACTTGAGGTGGCTGATAAGCGGTGTCGAAAACGTGCACAAAACGACCATTCTGTGAACGTTTTGGACACGGATTAAAAACCAGTTGTAAGCACAAATTTTCATATGAACAAAGTCATCCCAACATTCCCAACCTTGGATCCATAAACTGAGCAATGAATTCATGGCCAATAGTTGTATTTTCCGGTGTAAACTAGTCTTTCCAATGCCAACACAATAATACAGTCCTCATAAGACACAGTCAGATGTTGAACAATAAAATTGCAAACGGAAAACATAATATATAAGACACTGACAATAGTTTTCTTTCTGTCAATGCATCTGGATACTATGGTAATCTGGTTATTCCAGCAATAGAATTCTCATTTTCAGGAATTCTTTATAATTTTTCAATTTTTTACCAAGTCTAACACACAACTAACATTATCACAAACACTGTTAAATGACAATCTACTTACAGCTTGGTAATAATGATCTCTTTCTTGTACAGTTTGTTCAGCTACTTTTAACACACTGTCCAGATGATGACTGGCAACTGCACCTTTATTCTCTAAGTATTCCAACTCTTTCTGCATTTTAACAATCTTATGTTGCGACTTCCTGTTGAACAATAACGTTGATATGTAAATTTATTAGGAATCCATAAAAGCATTGCCTGTAGAACACTGTATATTCTGTCTACAGTACCAACAAGTCTGATCACATCACACCAGTTTTGAAATCTACACTGGCTAAAATGTGTGCATCACATCAAGTATAAAATCATCATTTAAAATTCTTCATTGAGACATTGCCCTGACTATTTACCTGAGCTCATTACGTTTCATTGTGTCATCTAAGGTCTTTTGATAGTCCACTACTAAAACATATTGACAATTCTAAAACAATGAAAACATATGGCTGACATGCCATATTTACCATCAGAATAGTCTTCGAAAACCTTATTTAAAACAGATTTCAAAACTTTTTTTTACTGCTTCTGCAATTCTTCTGTAAGCACTCTGGGATGTAGTGTAGAGTGCTAAACCAATCATTGCGTGTATAATAATAATACTTACTTTAGCGCCCTCTGCAGGGCTCTTATTTCCCCTTCTAGTTGTTTATTTTCTGCTTTAGCATCTGTTAAATTCAAGGCTAAGGTCTTCTTTTCTTTCTCAGTGGCCTGTAATTTTAGCAAGATGTTCTCTAATTCTTCTGCATGTTTTTCATTCAAATCTGACAGCGATCTGTAATAAAATACAGGAATAATCTCAAATTGAAAAAGAAATAACATGAATTAACAAGCAGCCTATCGGCTGAGATAGCTCCGCTGTTAGCAATGCACATTTCAATTAAAGAACTGAAGACATGATTAGAAAATGAACAATATGAATAGTATCAAAGCAATCAGACTTACAGTTTTTAACAAGAAGTCGAAAATATCACTTTTTACCAAAAAATTACAAAAATATTCACCAAAATAAATTAATTAGAGAATTGAAGATATCATCACAAAACGAACAAATCTGAGAGAGGTCCACATGTAGTACCTATATATGTAA